AGAGAAGGTATTTATATTTATAACTGGGTGTCTCAGGCGTCTCTGCTACATGCATGTGTATATGGCAACGTTGGTGAATGCGCACATGTCTGAAAAAGTCACGAGACTACATTAAGAGCTCTCAAGTATGTGTAAATGGATTTAATTTTTTTTCATGTTTCCCAGATTAACTCCTTTTTCCACGAAAATAAGTCTGGCTCTTGCAGAAAAACAAAACGCCACCGCATCACCTGATGCCACGTCATTCTCCCAAATAAGGGTAAAAGTAAGCATACTTAGTCAGACCAATTAAGGTACTATTTGCTATATTCATGATTTTTGAAAACAGTTATACACTGCGCGACAGTACAGTGTGCACAGTACGGTCGAAATGGACGGGCAGGGAAAGGCTGTCCGTCTGCCTGTCTCCGGCCCCGACAGCCACGGCCAGCAGAGTGGTTCATGCGGGCGTGTCCGCCATGGTAACGGCGCTGCTGACAAGCAGCTGGAAGACCAGGACACATCTGCAGGTAACCGGCGCTTTTCATACCTGCCTTTTACAGTGGATATTGCTATTAACATCCCGTATCAAATTACTGTCTAGCATTTAGGTATTTTTATTCCTTATATTAATAACTTTTTTTTTCAATTCTGAAATGATTCTGGCTCAGTTTTAATTATTTGACCATTAGGCAAAGATAAACACAATGTCTTCCTGTATGAATTTTTCAGGTGTAAGACCCATGCGGGGGTCTGACTCTTATTGGCGATCACGTGCGGACGCCACTGCAAGAATTCCCAACCCTATGTACGTCTCCAATGCAGGTAAATCATGTACAGAGTTTATGATTTTGTTTTTCATTTTACTGGTGTTAATTTTTCGCAGATGACTAATTAAATTTTCTTGTCCCAGGCACCACACCCATGCAGCAGCCTCAGTCACTGCGATCACGTGCGGACGCCGCTGCCAAAATACCCAACCCTATATATGTCTCAAATGCAGGTAAATTGATTACAGTTTTTATTCAATTTTTTTTTTTTGCATCTTCTACCTTGTATTAAAGGCCCCAAATTATTCAAGAATGGTTTCTTTGTTTGTTTGCTTGTTTGCATTTAAATTTCAGTTTGTTTGTTTTTAATTCTGTAGGCGCCACAGGTATGCGGCAGCCGTATTGGCGATCACTTGCGAATGCTGCTGCGAAAATATTCAACCCTATGAGCACCTCTAGTTCAGGTAAATCGTTTATATTCCCTATCTTGTATGTTAAATGACCAATATTGTTTACAGTTGACTACATTACATTTTTTTCGTCCAGACGACCCACCCATGGACCAACCCCAGACTGATCACCAGGCACGTGCAAACGACGATGAAAACACACTCGACCACACGTACGCCGACATGCCAGGTAAGACGTTTTAAATATGCATAAGAAATGAGAAAATCCTTTAATCTAATTGCTTTTTATAATGGAAATTTTATACATACATTTTATAGCATATGTATGGCAGTTTGAACATTAACAGGCACCAATTATGCAAATGAGGATCTGATTTACACAATACATTGTATGATATTATTTTACCCTAGTGGTCAATTATGGGTATTTCATACTCATCACATTTGTAAATTTGTTCAAACTGAGAATCAATATGGCATTGCATAAATGTTGACGTAAACAATAACCTGAGCGGAGTATTTTTTCCTACCAGACCGCTCGTATCCGGGTGGAGCGAGCCGCCGCCGTGGTGTCTGTAGCTTCCTCTGCGCCCGCCGCAGCTGTCTGGCCGCCAGCATCGCCGTGCTACTGAGCCTAGTCGCCGTGGGACTCGCCCCTCTGACGTTCAGCAACAAACAGGTAACAGTCTTGTACCACAAAGCCTGTACATAGTTCAGCTGTTTTGTCCAAGTCTCATTTGGTTTTTTTAAGAGGGTACAAAAACTAATTTGCTGCTTTTTTGGTATGTTTGTTCCTTACGTTCGGTATTCTGATGTACGTAAATACGTTTCTAGGAAATATCTCATTTGTCAACAACTGTGAAACACGACCAAGACGACTTTCGACGACTGTCCGCCACTGTTGGCGCCTTGAAGCGCAACCAAGACGACATGTCCGCCACTGTTGACGCCTTGAAGCGTGACCAAGACGACATGTCCGCCACTGTTGACGCCTTGAAGCGTGACCAAGACGACATGTCCGCCACTGTTGACGCCTTGAAGCGTGACCAAGACGACATGTCCGCTACTGTTGACGCCTTGAAGCGCGACAAAGACGACATGTCCGCCACTGTTGACACCTTGAAGCGCGACCAAGACAACTTAAGCCAACTGTGCACCACTGCTGACGCCGCAAAACACGACAACAAGCGAAGCCAAACCGCCACCTTGGAGAAGCGTCTTCACGAGACTTCACGTAAATTGGTTTTCAGCTGTTATGTTGGCTCTTCATGTTAGTCTATTTACCACCATCAATAGTTGGATAAGATGTAATATGGGACACGAGTGTGTGTGTGTTGTGGGTGTTTATGTGTGTGTGTGTGTGTATGCGTGTACATGTGTGTGTGTGTGTGTGTTGTGTATGTGTGTATTTGTGTGTGTGTGCGCGCGCACGTGTGTGTGTGCGTGTGTGTATTGTGTGTGCGCGCGCGCGTGTGTGTGTGTGTGTGTGTTTGCATGTGTTACAATATTCGCTATTGACTACAACCTCTCGGGTAGATTTATTGTTGATGAAGCCTATAATTCATTACTTTCAACATCCTGTGCATGTTTTTTATACAAAACCTGTTTTCCAGCATCCTGTCCCGAAGGTTACACAATGTGGCATGAAATCTGCTTTAAGGCCTTCAACAAACTTAAGACCTTCAATGATGCGGCCGCGGCCTGTCGTGCAGACGGCGGCACCCTCGCCATGCCCCGAGACGCTGAGACCAACGCCTTCCTCATCTCCCTGTACAAGTCCGTGAGCTTTAGTGACTTCTGGATCGGCCTGCACGATCGGCGCGTAGAGGGAAGGTTTGAGTGGGTGGACGGGTCTGCACTTGGACCGTACAGCTCCTGGAGTCCGGAAGAACCAAACAACGGTGGGGGCAGCAACGAAGATTGCGTCCTTTATTCCCAACCCTTCAAAGACAAGTGGAACGACTTAAGCTGCTACCGTTTGTGTAACTTCATATGCCAGGCTGCTCCAGGTACTTATTGTATCCTCACTATTTCCTGAAACCCTTCCATCCAGTAAACATGACACAGCTTAAGGACCCATCAGAATAAGCGGCAGACAATCATTGCTCCTGTCACAAACCATGTCTGATTAAACTATTCCACAGCTCATGCCTGATAATTCTTCTTATTATTTTTTATTTATGTTTTTCAGGACGTCCATAGGCTCTGAAAGACGTAACAGATTCAGAAAAGGTAATTATTGATTGTTGATGTACAATAAACAGGGATGGTTGATTGGTTGGTCGGTCGGTAATTTTATCTAACCCTGCTTACAGATTCAGGGCTCGAACTTAACTTTTTTCCCTACTGTCCCAGAACTGTCCCAAAAATAAATTCCAACTGTCCCAAAGTGAGGATGGACTGTCCCAAACTGGTTTTCAGGAAGTATGTATTACAACAACAATAAAGCTGAGTATTGCTGTGTAAGCTAATTGTCAATTGAAATAAACACAAAATCAACTCAAATTGAAACTTGTCTTGGCTGGTTTATTGTGCCGACAAATGTAACAAAGACAAACCAAAGTTCTTGTCAAACTTTCTTTCCATTTTCTTTCCTTCCACTTGTTATGTGTAGGCTACAGCAAGTGGCCCCTGTAAAGTGTGCATACTGCATGCTGCACACTGCAGTACTATACTGCATGCTGTATCTGAGTATAATGCTGAAGCTGCAATCTTGAGATGGTGGAATAGTGGTCGTCGCATGAGGAGGCCAGAGCACCTAGACTAGTGTATGTTGTTTGTGTATGTTCTGTGTAAGTGGAAGTACATGTATATAGTACTGCAGTGTGCAGCATGCAGTATGCACACTTTACAGGGGGCCACTTGCTGTAGCCTGCACATTACAAGTGGAAGGAAGGAAGGAAAGAAATGTTTTTTTCTTATGTAAAACCTTTTGTCTAGTAAATGTAAATATTTGTGGATTGTAATACATGATGCAGTATATAGTACTGCAGTGTGCAGCATGCAGTATGCACACTTTACAGGGGCCACTTGCTGTAGCCTGCACATTACAAGTGGAAGGAAAGAAATGTTTTTTTTTCTTATGTAAAACTTTTTGTCTAGTAAATGCAAATATTTGTGAATTGTAATACATGCAGTATAATATAGTACTGCAGTGTGCAGCATGCAGTATGCACACTTTACAGGGGCCACTTGCTGTAGCCTGCACATTACAAGTGGAAGGAAAGAAATGTTTTTTTTCTTATGTAAAACTTTTTGTCTAGTAAATGTAAATATTTGTGAATTGTAATACATGCAGTATAATATAGTACTGGAATCTCGTGACCTGAAGGTAGTTGTGAGTCGGCAATACATGCATCTTACATCTTGTACCTTGTGGCAGAGATTCATGCAGGGGACAATTGGGAGACCTGAACAATTTGAGCACGAGAGTTCTAGTGGAGATATACTAATACCCATGAACTCATCTTGTTGCGAGAGAGGCTTCTCCAGTATGAAACAAATAAAGTCAGACTGGAGATGAAGCAGGTGGTTCAGCATCTCGTTGCTGAGAGAGGCTCTCCAGTCTACCTTCAGGTCACGAGATTCCCTTCTGGCTGTAACAGTAAACTCAAAATCCTGACATGTGTCAAGGATTTGGCATGGATTTTGAGTGTTCTTCTTCGAACCTTATCACCAGTTACACCGTGGAATAGGGCATTGCCCTTTGCCAATGTGGGCATGGCCCTACATTTCTTGCAATACGTCATCTCTGCTTGATAATCATAGTCAACAAAGTCATAATCTGTCCTCCACTTTTCCAAGAAGCATCGTTTCCTCTTAGCCTCGTATTTCCGAGAAGGTGGCACTTTCCTCTTAGCCTCGTATTTCCGAGAAGGTGGCACTGTGTCCTAAAGTGAAATCAAAGTACCAAATAAAGACAATTGAAGCTAAATTGATAAAGTTCAATCAATGTATTAATTAATCAATTTATTTCTGACAAAAAGATAAAAACATACAAGTTTGTAGAAAGCAGAAAAAATACAAACAGTAATACACATTTACTGAGTCACAAAATTAAAAGAACAATAACCTTGGCCATTTACAACAGTTTATTGAAATTAGATTGAGGTCAAAGAACAAGGCCTTATATTGTAGGTACTAAATCTATGAAAAATGTATAGACTGTGACTAGTATGGAAATTTCCTTTTTTTTAAAGTTAAGAAAAAACATTTATTTGACAATATTTAACGTTAACGTACTTGTCAATAATATTGGAGTGGGAAAAAAAATTAAATTACCGAAGACTTCTTCGAAGGCCGCTTGTCCGTGAGGGTTTCTGATTCAGACTCATCAGACATGTCAGAGTCCCCTTCATGACTGGAAGCAGTAGGACTGTCATTGGCGTTTCCCGCGTCTGAAGGCCCTGGTTGGCAATCGGGCTGAATCAAGCCCCCCTCCCCCCTTCCGTCGGCGCATCCCTCTTTCGTACCGGCCGTACGATCTGGAGGCTGACTCTCAGTTGTTGAAACCACGCCGTCAGACTGAGATGATCCTGAACGTCTTTGAGGATCGACAGCATTGACTGCATTCGACGCCGGGTCCGCTCGCGGCGAGGAGAAAAAAGAGGTAATTTTCCTCTGTGCCATGCCGGCCATGACTCTCAAATTTTCTGATTTCGGCTGTTTTCGGCATTCCATTCGTCATTTCGCGGGAAACTAGGCGAAGTTTACCGAAAGACACCGTACATTCCCGAGCTTTGCCGGTTCACTATATTTGGCATTGTCAGCTGATCTCCCGAGCATCTCCGGAAATATCCGAACATTAAACAGTTACAGTTCGCCATATATGGCAGATGCCTTGATTGGATGCAAGCTGTGATTGGTTGAATGTTGTTTACATGGATAGAATGTCTGGGAACTGGCGTGGGAAAGTGGCGCCAAGGCGGCGGGCTGCAATGGATCAAAGGCGATGGGCGGGGCGACAAAATAGTGGCCACATGCGTACACGGGTGCCACACACGCTGCTCAGCTGAGTGTATATCGAATTCGGCGGCTTTTGGTGAGGCCCAAAAATGGGTTGCGCGCCTGGCAAACGTATGAACGGCTGACATTCTGATTGTGAATGTTCGTTATTTTTCCAGTGTCCCAAAAATGTCCCAAAGTGATTTTTCAGTTGTCCCGGCCGAAATTTTAGTGGCCAGGGGACATCGGGACATCGTTAAGTTCGAGCCCTGCAGATTACATGGAAGGACCTGCCATGGTTTTATGTACATATTATCATATAGCCAGGTGGCGTTGACCAATCAGAAGCCACCATTCCATATTGATTATGACACCATAATGTCACAGTTAGCATGATACAAGTATTGCCAGGTGTGTTTTATTCTCACAAGTGTGCCCGGAGCAAACCATTTGCAGGGGAGTTGACTCTTTTTGCTGACATTTGTAGCACGTTTCCTTGTTGAATAGAAATTTTTACCGTCTTGTCATCACCCAATTTATTTAGCAGTACATAACAAAATAAAGACCATGTCAATACATGTGAATTTTGAGCGAAAGAAAAGAAAACATATTTTGCGCCACCCCCACTAGTAAGTACATTTCTGTATTGAAACATCCAAATGACCTCAGATGACTTCAAATGGAAGCTTGTTCTATTCTTTTGGCCCAAAATAACCACGAATGGAATACCGGTTCTATTCCAAAGTTCATATGAACTCTGATAGAACAGGTAAAATCATCACACTAAAGGGCATACAATTTTAGACAATGGTGTGTCAGAATTTGTCATAGAAGAACTGATTGAGGCCAATTTAGATGCATCTGATCATTGTGAAGGATATGCCATTTTGTCATCATATATAATAAAAAGTCATGTTTTAAACGGTTTGTCCATCTCTTCATTAAAAAATGGTGCATAAATTATGGATGGTATAATTCTGGTCTTTGGAGGTTCTGTATCTACAGTAAAAGTCCTGACTGCAGCTGCATTTAATAATATTCAGTCTTTCTTCATCTTTGACAACTGTGTCTCTTGAGCTCCCTTAACTCTCAAGAGTTTCTTTTTTATTGTAGGAGGGCCTTTCCTAATCTCAAAGCAGATTCTGTGGGGACAAGGGCAGTATATATTAATTGGCTAGCCTCTATAGCATGCCAAAAACTTGGGGTTTGGGGTTTCTATTATATTGAATAGACCTAATGAATCACCATTTTTAAACTGCAGTTTTGGCGTCAAGATAGTCCGACCCATGCATACTTACCTTGCGTCCCGTGAGTTCATATCTAATTTATTAACTTATATTAAGGGATTGACCTGGGCGTTTTAACTGTTCGTCTTGTATGTTTGTCAAAAACTTAATAAAGATGATTTTTACTAAGCCACTAGGGGGCCCAAAATCTTATCATTTCCAGTTTTCGCCACACCCTACCAACCTACCAAGTTTGAAACCAATCCATCCAGCCGTTCTTGAGTTATCTCGTTGACCAACAGAATGACAAATGCAACTGAAAATATAACCTCCATGACATGTCATTGAGGTAAAAATCATAACAAAGCAAGCTACCTAACTCCTAGAAAGGCAGCCAAAAAAAAACTTACCATATACTAGTGGACTCACTGTACCCGACCACAGCATTACAGCCCAGCGCGTGGGCATGAGATCGAATCTCCTGTCGTAACTCTATCCACCAGGCATCTCTGGTCTCAGGCTCATCTATAAGTGAGAGAAGACATTAACTTCAGTTGGGAAAACATAAAAACAGCAATTCATTTACATGTACATGCACAGAAAGTGTCTTGTTGGATAGCAAGACTCTCAAAATGTTCAACCTCTAACAGCAAAGACCAAAATTGACTTGCAGAAGGTAAAAAAAACAACTGTACAAACTTTGTGGTTTCGGAAATGAAAAACATGCAGGTACACATCTGTGTTAAGGACTGACTGATCACCAACAGAGATTTAGGGCATTTGACACTGAAACCAATTGTGAATTGCCCTGCAGAAAGACTATCGTATAAGAAACTTGTCATGACATTTTTTTTAAGAGTGTGAAGAAAATGACTTTTGCCGTGGCTTCAATGCAGTGTTCTAGCCAGCCTGAAATTTCTTTTTCTTTCCTACATTTTCTTTGATTTGACATCGTGACACCGAAGGCACAAGGAGTTACAGACTCCTAGGAGGGTCTGGGGGCATACTTTCTCAGGAAAATTTTGAAATCTTGAGCCACTGAAATTTTTCTGATACACTAAGCTTAGTTTAATGACATTCTATATCTTTCTATGTACATGCAGATTTTTGTCCATCAAAGAAGAGGGAATGTCTGTCATGAGCAGCAAAATTCTGTCAAATTTAGACGGATGCTGGCTAGAACACTGCACCAATGTGTACACCAAAAACTGTGCAATATGATTTTTATAGATATCAGCCATATCAAGTGTAGTGTCTTGTTCAGCTATATTTTAAGCCTCTCTAACAATCTTCAAAACGATGAGAGCGACTTCATACAAAATCCTTTCCTCCGAAACTCGTTGCCATCCTTAATGCTATGAGAATTTCCACCAAGGTGACAGTGAAGAGTGAGAAAAAGGAAGAGAAAAGCAACTCCCTGGAAAAACTTTCCGGCACGTTACCTGATTTTGATTTAAGGACTGCTTGCAAAACAGAATGGACAGGGTACATGTACAGGTGGTGGTTACAACTTTTGTTAACTAGGAAAAAGAATCAGGCTTCTCTCGACAAAAACATTCTCCATATCACATCTGCTTCCTTCTAAGAATATGCAAAACAAAATCTCCAAGATGCTTCAGTATCATCATAATTCTTACACAAATATGTTATTACGGGTAACCGTAACGTTAGTCACTGCATGCTGGAATTGATTTCAAACTTGATTGATATACATGTACTAACCATTATTATATCAAAAAAAACTGTTCATCTAAGTGCTGATAAGTAAGTCGTCTCTGGGTTAGGAGTTAAAACAACAATCAACACAAGATTTATAACTATGCTCGAAACAAGTACCACAAATATATATTAGCCATGCTATTAAAGTTTTCATAGCAAACCACAAAATCAAGAAGGACCTTCTGAGCTAATACACAATCAGCATTCCATACTGCAAGATGTACATAATATACCAATAGAAATTATTGTCAACCAATGTACAATATCAGAACTAAGGCCACACCAATTTAATTTGTTGTTCCTCAGATTATTTCAGAAAAAATCAGGAGTGACATGGCGAAAAAAACAAACAGGCCAAGACATCCCATGATGGCCAGAAATGTTACAATATGAGCCATGAAGTGAACATACCAGGCTGGTTTATAATCAAACAATAGATTTTGAACGTGTAATGAAACAAAATTGCATTGTTTAATATTGTCCAAAAACTTAAGAACCAGGAAGAAAAGGACTTTTTTCAACCATTGGGGACAAAATATGTCTTCATTGAACATTTTGCAGTTAATTTAGAACCAAAAAAAAATTTTTTTTTTTTTTGCAAATTGGAAAAAAATGGACACGGCGATTCGAGAAGCAACAAATTAAATTGGTGTGGCCTAAAGATGACATGAAAAAATGACAAGGAAGTACTGTTCCTGAAAATTGTCAAACATGCTAGTTTCTTAACGGGCTGCTATGCTTGCCATGACGTCACTGCCACGTAGTCAATTTAATTATCTGGCTGCAGAAATCAGGAACTGGAAGGATGATTGATACATGATTGTATGATGTTCCTAACATCAGCGTACGTTTTGTCCAAACGTCTTGATCATTGAACAATGCCTATTTTCAGGAAGTGTTGTATTTCATTGTCATTGCTTTCTTTTAAGCTAATGTTGTAAACAGCTTAACTGTGATCCCAACACAATAAGCAGGTACATGTATCTCCAAATTCCCAACTTTTCATGCTAAAGCCTTTCTCAGGTTTGAATGACCAACTGGTCAGGACATGGTCACATGTCTGTACATTGAAGGACAGCCACACTTGGAGAAACTTAAAGACCACACTGCACCTATCAAAAAGAGTTTGTTTGTTTGTTGTGTTGGAAAGCAGTACAGCTGTCAACAACGTACAATGCTGTGGTTTTCTCTGTTAGTCGATGTGTTGCCATGCCCCACCTGGGTTGTGGATCCTGTCCAACAGTTTGACAGAGCGAGCAGACACCACTCCTCCCAGGGACTGCAGGAACCCAGGCTGGAAGGACCGCAGGGTGAAGAATGGGTACTCCTGATGGAGAAATATAACATCATTCAAGCCCCTGTCACACAACCATACATGGTCTAAGTCCACACTGACTTAATTTTATGGATGACATCCTCTGAACAGCCTCAAACTAGTGCACGCGGGCAAATAAAAAAAAATTCCGGGCAAAAATAAAAATGCAACTAAAACACAGGAATGCAAAGCTGGTATAAATATGGGAAAGTACTTTCATGAGTCCTTGTTAAAGCATATTCAACTATAGCCTTCAATGACCACATGTAAGGGTGGTATCTGCCCTGAAAGATTGTGAGCTTCCTTACCATGACATCCAGGCTGGGTTGTTGGGACATGAGCTTCTGTATCATGGTGGCCTTCCCCCCGCTGCTGCCACTACTGCCCACACTCCCTCCTGTAACAGAGACATCATGCACCACACTCAGGACACACAACAGTGGACATGTACACTCTACACTACAGGCTGTACAGAACAAGTCAAACTTCAGCACCAGGGACATGTCCCATCCTGAGCTGGGGAAGGCAATGACACCTGTGGTACCGTAACCTTAGCACTAGGGACAATGGGGACATCCATCCAATGAGACCGAGTGGTGTACAACAGCAACCAATTCAGCACCAGAGACAGCAATATATTTTTTTTACTGCGGTAGTGGCAAAAACATGTGGAGCTGAAGGGTGCCGTTTGTTCTTCAGAACAGCAACTTCAATATTAGGGACAGCATCAGCAAATTCAGTACTAGGGGCAGCAACAGCAAATTCAGTACTTGGGACAGCAACAGCAAATTGAGTACTTCGGACAGCAACAACAATTACAATACTAGTGACAGAATCAACAATTTCTGTATTAGGGTCAGCAACAGCAACTTCAGTATTACAGACAGCAACAACAACTTCAGTGCTAGGAACAGGAACAACTACTTCAGTAGTAGGGACAGCAACAGCAAGGTCAGTCCTAGGGACAGCAACAAGACAATCAGCACAAGGGACAGCAACACCACAGTCGGTGCTCAGGGAAACCACAAATACAAGGGACATTCTCAGACTGGCAATTGGTGCATCACAGGGTTGTCAAAGACTGCTTAAATTGTGACATAAATTTGATGGTACAATACTGGTACAATTTATTTTCTTACATAAGACCAGGTCCTAATTTCTCATATCTTTAACACAACAATATGTCATGTTATTTCCACTGACAATCATGGTTTTAAAACAGCCAACTGAGAACCTAGCTAGTTTAAGCAGCATCAATACCAACAATAATGAGAGTGCTTTTAAGAAATCAATCTCTAACAGCATTCAAACTGATGTGGCAAAATTAATGTTGTTGTTTTTTTCTGACTGTAGCCCTGATAACTTAATGCACTCAGGTGCAACACTTTCTACGCATAGCCATTTGCAATTTGTGTACATGTACTTGCAGTGCTTTTAGAGGTGCATTTTGCTGAGACCACATGAAGTAGATTTGTGCAGCAGGCACACAGAGGAACAGTGTAGGCATGTGGGGGAGGCACAGTTGCATGCTGGCTTCAGGAACCCAAGATGCTCTTTAACAAACTGTCTGCTGCATGCTACCTGGTTATTACTAGCTTGCTTTTAGAACCAGGAAAGCCCAGTACAAGAGACAATTGTCTTGGAAAGATGGCTGTGATTCTTCTAGACTTTGCCTGTACCCATCACAGCAGCTCGAGGTGTGTCGTCTAAATGTTTGAGATATAAATTGAACCTTGTAAACAATGCAACACAAAAAGTCTTAGCCAGGTTCAAACTACATGTAGTATACTAGTAATATGTAGTTACTACATATGATGGTAGTTACAGGAGCACCCAAACAGAAACTTGTGTTGTAAGATTGTGCAAAATAGGGACACACTTTAAATCAGCAATATTCTTCAGCATTTAACTTATAATAATAACTTATTGTCTCTTGTAGTGGGCTTTTGTCCTGGCTTATTCCAAGCCTCTACCATGCACGGGTCTAGGTCCCACCTGTGCTTAAGTCAGACTCGGACGACTCAGTTCGGTACAGACGGAAGTTGGACGACAGAGATTCTTTCCTTCGGGCGGAAACAAGGGGAGGGGAGCCGGAGAGGTAGGAGTAGGGCGTGGAGACACGGCGGTGAGCGGCGGGGAGGGGAGGGGTGGAGGAGCGCGTACGTTCCTTGTGCGTGACGGGCTGGGAGTACTGCCTGCCGACCGCCGCGGGGGGCGAGGGCGTGCGGCGAAGAGGAACTGTGGGAAAAGGGTCGGCGTCAGGCGGAGAGGGGGCGGTGACAAACACGATGCAGTCGTGGGGAGGGGGTGTGGTGAGGGTGAGTTTTGGCGGGGGTGAAAAGACTTGTGATTCAGTGTCTTCCACTGCATGAATAGAGCATGAAGAAGAAGACATGATGAAGAGGAAATTAGCATGTCATAAAAGCGGCATGAAGTTTTGGATCAGAATCGCCAGGCAAATGCGATGCAGAATGGTCAATGAAACAGTTTTAAACACAGAACGTGGATTGGACAGCAGCACATGCACACATAAACGGCAGAACAGATGCACAACGTGACACAGACAAGACAAATAAAGACACACGTTCAAGAAGAAAGAAGACAGGAGGGGGAGAGAGAGAAAAGACGTTATTGTGAGACACAAATCCAAACCAATGGAAAAGCTGAGAAACAAGAGACAGACGGACAGAATGAAGGGCAGGGCTCAAAATACCACCAGTAGACTTGGAAAATATTTGCTTTGTGCTTGTATGTACTTTTGTGGACCTACACTGTAAAGCATCAGCGATGGTTTAGCTATAGAACATGAAGATGGTCCAATACATTGCAATAATATTCAGAGGAATGCAACTGCAAACAAAAACAATTTCATACAGTCAAACCTGTACTTGTAACCACCTCTACATAAGGGCCACCTTGTAACTACTTTGTTGGTGATCCCTTAGATACAAAAACGACATTGCGCAACTCTCCCTCACTTTAATCCACTTCACGCGCAAGTCAAAGACATCACAAAACAACAAAAACTAGGAATTGGGTGCCATCTTTCAAGTCACGTGACCAAGAGTTCAATGGTCAACAAAAGCACATCGACAGAATGTACTGCACCTGTGTGAAACCAAGACTTTACAATGGATGTCTGCATTGCATCAGAATCTTGCCTGGTGCAGACGATATCTTTTTTCATGTTTCATAGTCGTCGCCATAATCAAATCATAGATAGTGAGTTGTTGTGCAGTAAAGTTCTTCTTTTCCTACACAACATTTGAAAACTATAGAGGAGATGCCATTGGTAGATATGGGAATACGAGACATTCTGCTCAAGTGCTATGCACAATATGTAACAGGTTTTGCGCAGGTACAGTACATTCTGTCAATGTTTTCCAGTGCCCTACACCACATGCAGTTAGGTGGCGTCGGTGGCGCAACGGTTAGAGCGTTGGACTCGGAACCAAGAGGTCCTGGGTTCGATACTCACCGTGGCCCGACATTGTGCCCTTGGGAAAGGCACTTTACACGACTTCCCCACCTGTACGGTGGAGTGACGCCCACCGAGCCTCTTAGGCTAATCTGTCTGTCAGGGTGCCAAAAACACCTTACGGATTTGGTGCGCCAATGTGAAAACATCTCATATTGGCCACTGAGAGGCGTTAAATTTTTTTTTTTTTTACACCATAGCTGATGCTCTACAGTGCCGTATCCCGAGCCCTGGGGAAGAGTTATGCTGCTTTACCTCTTCTGCGAAATCCTGCAGTTGGCAGTCAGGCGGACGGACGAACAAGAAAGGCTCAAAGTGTTTTTAAGTGTTGGGTTAGGGAATATACTAACATGATGCTTTACTAACATGATGCTGACAGGTTCTGTCAAGCATCATGTTAAAGGTATTAAGACTAACATGTAAACTACATAATGCAAAGTAAATCCAGCAACTGAATAAATTCTCTGAGAAGATAGCATCTGCTATCTTACCTCAGTGACTGGCTATCGAAAACTTATCCGGTTGCTTGATTTATTTTGTTTCACATAATGTTTTACATGAACTTGGATGTTTAACCTTCATTGACGTAATAAATAAATACAAAATTGTTTTGAATTAAGAAATAAGACCATGCTGTAAGCTGGAAAACTCAGAAATTACTAAATGTTATTATGACTATCTTATCATCAGTACTGCAGCTACCAGTATTGTGATTGAATGTTTAACTTGTAGGATATGTTGGACAATGTTAAGTTATAATAGCAATTGACCTCATCCTCTCTACCAGTAGAATGGCAATTCTACAAGTCTTAGAACAAAGTTTCCACCCAAGTTTATTTTTGTTGTTGTATTAAGTACTATTTACACATGTATGAGCTCCAGGAAGAATATAGATATATTCACTAATGGATATCTGAATAAGACAAACAAACTGTTACAGTACAGTTCTGAAGATTGGTTATTTTGTGCACCTTTTGGTGTCGTGCTCAGGTCAGAATCAGACGACTGGCGCCGCACCCTCTCAGCCGGACCGATGGGAGGCACCACTTCCTTGGGCAGGGGGGAGGAGAAGAGTTTGGTGGGGGAGGGAGGGGGGGCCGTGCCCTCCTCTGGTACAGGTGCCCTGGGGGGAGGGAAGTTGGGAAAGTAAGCCTTAGGTCAATCCAACTGAACAGCAATTTAAAACTTCTTTTACAACCACTTGTTTAACAAGAGCCGACGTTTTGATGAAGTTGACAGGTGGTCATCGAAATGTTGGCTCTTGCTACACATGTGGATGTCAATACAGAACATTGGTGTAGAATATGGCCTCCTGAACACTACCCCCGGTAATGCCCCTTCCCCCCCCCCATTAATTTGTCAACGTTAGGTGCTAGCTGCAACTTTATGGCCAGTAGCGCTCTAAACAAGATGGACTAGCAAACTTAGTGTAGGAGATCACTTTTCAGACATACCATGCATGATATAATGACAGGTTTTATTGAACATCTTGTTCCCCTTTCAAATTCAAATTTTATTCGGTAAGGCTCTCGTGGGCAAAAACCCGAATTTCGTCCTTATTACATAAGTGCATAATGCATTAAAAACAATGATTTGTTACACTCTTCATTATACACATGAAACATGGCAAGCACAATATTAAAACCTTTCAAAAATTTTCGACATTAAAATCTGTACACAATATGTGGTTACCACGTAGGATTTAGCTAGATTCTATAACACTACTGGTGAATTGTCTTGTTATAGAAGCCAACAGCGCAATGAAGAAATTGCTATTAAAGTCTCTTAGTCCGGGCTTTAGGTACAATCAGTTGCTTGTACCAGAGTTTAAGAGTCCTTTAAGGAAGAATACATGTAGATGTATGATGGAAATGGCGACTCACTCCTTGACGGCATCCTTGATGACTGGTGGAGACTGGTGAGGAGAGACCGGTGGTGGCTGGAGCCGCGCCAGGTGGGCCGCTGTGCCGATGGCTCGCACCACGATACCTGACTCACCCTCCAGGTCAAAACACTGTCTGTACCTGACGGGAGCAAAGGATTTATCATAATTCACTCCATACCATAGGTAAGGAGGAAATATATTGTTTTCTATCATGTTTGTTCTGCTCCTACTGTTTCGTTTAATTCAATTTCTTTTATTCCTTTTATTGCAGGACTTTGATTTATGTTTACCAAAGGAAAACATATTGTTTTTGCTTTGTTTCCTCTTCTTCTCCAAACCAATAAGGTCAACGACCTGAACCAGACGTCTGTCACTACTGTCACCATTATGTATGTTTTCATTGCCAGTCTTGTTGTGGGTTAGCTTATATGTAGTTCAGCTTGTGCTGACCCTTGTTTCATTGCTAATAAACCCTTGAAGTTTCTTTATTGAAAATTGAAAAAGTTTTCATTTAAACAATCCCTTCTCAGTTGTGCAAGATTAAAAAATTTTGCTTCAATCTGAATGAAGAAGAATGTGGGATTAGAACAATTTCATTTTGGACTTACCCAATGACAGCATTGCCTCCCATCTCCAGTACCTTCAGTCCTATCTTCCTCTGCAGCTCACCTGAAACACATTAAACATACAGTAACACGACTCAGGGTTTTTCACATCATTAACACAGGACAATTACACCTACAATAACACCATTCAGGGTTTTTCGGCATGGGGGCATGTATTTCTGATATGTAATTGAAAACATTTTAACTGAGTATTGAATTTTCAAATGATGAAGAGGGTACTAGTATTGGGTTGTATTCTGTACAAATGGGACGTTTTTCAGTGATTTTGCTTTAATTCGTAAACATAGTAAGATGTCAGAAATGTTGGCTAAAAACCTCCCTATTTAGTCACTCCTACATACTGTTCTATCCATTTTTGTTTCGAAAAGTCCAGGTAGTAACTGAAGCTATCCCTGTCCTTGGTGCTGAAAGCCATCTCTAAGCAATGTATCCTGTTTGTAATAATATCATATTAGGCCATGTTGATTTGATTATATGATATCAAGGGTCTGCATGGGGGGAACCTGGCAACGCTTAACGGTAAATTTAGAGGGACTAAAATACTTAAAGGCATTCAATGCAATCCTAGGGCAACAGAAACGAATAAACAGTCCGGATGAGGAAATCTGTCTGATATTGATATTTACAACTGCCATTTATACGCATTTTTGTCATCATTTCACACTAGATATGTTTAAAGCACCCAAAAACTAGCTATATGATTATGAGGCATCTCTAACACTAATTTTTTTTTGATACTGCCCATTATACAGTTACAACCAGCCTACAAGACAAAATAAGCAACCATTTTAAGTAACATCACATTTTTGCCTCACAGAAAGGGCAGACTCAACTTACTACGTTTGAAGAATGATCAGAATTGACTTTAAACATCAAGTTTTGCTGCTCTAAAATTGCATTGGATATTGCCTTTAACGTAAATTCAGGCAATCAAGTTGTCTTGTGTGAGGCTCTGGAATTTGACAAATTGCCAGCACGCACAGAGCGGTACAACAGAAGTACATTACCGTACCTTGTTCACATTTTAAATCATGAATAGTCTGTGAAATGTTTGATTTTAATGATATGATTGTTACGGACACGGAATGACGACCAGGATTTTACTTCTTTTTATTTTATTTATTTAATTTGATTGTGACGATACAATACACTGGCAACCCAGGCAGCATAGCTGATTGTGTCTTACTTCACTGTCTAACGCTTTAAATCACACAATTCAGCCTTAGAGGCTGCCAAGTGATTGCGCTATATATGTACATAATTGTGATTTGAATTTTGTGTTTTGAAATAAACCAATGATACATGTATATATACTTCTTTGGAGCAGACTTTTGTATCTGTCAAAACTATAGTCCGGGGACCTTGGACGCTCTGTTATGATGCTCTGTTTTGGTAACACGTTTTGGTAACAAAATCAATTTTTCAATGACGCTTATATGAAGTACATGTATTGTTTACCCCAATGACTTACCTGACAGCTTGGAGAACAGGCTCTGTCTGGCCTCATTTGAGGCTCGAGGAGTCCGAATCTTGTCTATCCACTGAACAACGGTACAATACACGGTGTATGTTCAGAAAAACACAGACAAACCAAGGACATAATCACATTCTCAAACATTCCAGTGTTCTATTCCATTTACCGTGTACTGTATAGTACATGTTACATGTCACCTTGTCAACAGTTTTCAACTAAGAGAGAGATCACCCTTTCATATTACTTACATGAAGTACGCTAAGTATCAGTGTTAGAAATATCAACTTACAGTCTGCATTTTGCATAGACATTTGCAATATGAAACAATGAAGCGTAACCTGCATATTGCAGACTATATAATCTGGCTAGGGGTTGATTGGTGTTGGTCTCCATGGATGTGGCCATAGTTTTTGCCAAGATGTGCAGCGCAAACAACGTTAACATGTACAAACATGTATTTTAATGGACTTGAATCCAGACCTGAACCCCAACATGAGTTTTGTTACATGTCCTTACCATATACAATGCAAAATAATATATATCAAGTATTATTAGTGCATTATGTGTACAGTATTTGCAGAAAGTGTTCCCAAATCACAGAGCACTGAATAAAGTTAGCACTAAAGTTAGCACTGGAAATCACAATTTTTACGTTGTTGCGGTCACCTCTGTACCGCGAACTTATCACTACCATACACAAATAGTTTGACAACTTGCACCTGCCACCACTGTGCGCAAATAATCCCTCAAACATGTGCATCTTTTTGCTAACGTGAACAGAAAGTGATTTTTTTGGTAGCACACTGCCTTTCCCACAGATGTGGTATAAGGGGAAAGGTACATGTATAACAGGCTAGCAGGATATCACAATCAAAAAGGTTAGAGGTATCCCTCTGCTATGGTACAACCTTTTGAGTGGTACATGTATGTTGGAGTAGAAAGGGTTACCTGGTATTCTGGATCATCATTTACCACCAGTTCTTCCACAAACCCCAGAATAGCCACAGGATACATGCCATACGGGATGGAGGGGGCTGGGGAGGAGTAAGAAACAATCAGTCACTTCATAAAACAACATGATATGTCCTATATACAGTAAATCAAGTGTTATGGTCATCAATGACAAATCCTACACTACTTTCAGATATCAGCACTGTTTGTAGGCCTTCATATAAGTATAATTAGTTACTATACTGTATAAGAAATAAGTATAATGTCAGCAAAAACTACTGTGTTTCATTTCTAAAGAAAAGTACTACAACAATAATTATTACTACAACATTATTTTTCTGACATTTGGATGTTAAGAATACGCTGTATACTGATACATTTGACATCTTTTTTATTCTTTATATACGAAAACCTAAGAAAACATTAGAAAAAATTGGGTGCACAGCTCCAAATTTGGGTGCACTAAGGTTTACATGCACCCAGTATTTCTAGCCCTGCAGCTACACGTGTACTTGTTTTCAGACTTACAGCAGAAGAACTGGACTCCACAGGATGACTGTCTGAACCTGTTGGTGTCGATGAACAGATCCACCTTCACCACAATGTACACACTGCCTCGGATTCCTGTAATATCAAAACATCATAATTTACATTCCATTCATACATAGATATGGCTGTCAAAGGCACCCAGAGCAAGTCTTCATGGCAGTAAAACTGGATTATCAAAGTCAATTTTCTAGTCCTTTTTTAATGTAGTGAGATGAATCCACCCTACCCCATAGCATACTGATATCTGTGCGGCAAAAGTGTGAATGTTGCTGACAGAAAACGCTTCCTTGTTTCATATAATACATAGTAGGTTCATGTGGCGCAGTGGGTAGATTGGGGTCGTGTGGTACAGTCGGTAGCACGTTTGGCTCACACCCAAGAGGTCGCGGGTTTGAATCCTGCTCAATCCTCGGCATGTCACTGATCTTGTGCCCTTGGAAAAGGCACTTTACACGACTTTCCTCACTTCACTCAGGTGGAAATGAGTACCTAGCTTCGGTTAATAGGGACGTCCCTCGGATTGGACGTTAAATGGAGGTCCCATGTTTGGGGAGAGCCACACCCCACACACGTTAAAGAACCCACCGCACTTATCGAAAAGAGTAGGGGGTCTTCCCGGTGTGATTGGTTCAAACCTTACAGTCCGGTCTTACGCAGCTTGTACATGTGCGTACATGTACAAAACTGGTGTGTTATGCCTAAAGGCGGTTTACCGGTTATGCGACACAAACAAACAAACAAACAAGGTTGGTTCTTACTATTTACTTGTCACTGGTACCAAAAAAATAAATAAAGCAAATCACATAACTTGTTTGGGGGCTATTTCAAACACTTCCAGTATGAATTTAATATAAAGTCAAGCCAGATGAAAAGGAATTCCAGGTAACATAGAACTAGGAAACAGAGAAATTACAATTCCTTTAGGGAAACGACAATCATACATGCATGTACCAGCATTTATTTTCATTGTACTACTAAGGCCACACCAATTTAATTTGTTGGTTCTCGGATTCGCCTCTTCATTTTTTTCTGATTTGCAAGAAAAAAAAAAGATTCTAGTTCTGAATCAACTCAAATATGCTCATATTTTGCACCCAACAGTTGAAGAAAGTCCCTTTCTAGTTGATACAGTTTTTCCATCTATCAATGCAGTGGTTTGATGAAAAGTTTAAAATTCATAGTTTAAATATTAACCCAGCCTTTTGTGTTGACTTCATGGCTCCTATCATAGCATTTGGGGCTATAATAGGATGCCTAGATCTGTTTTTATCATTTTTTTTTTGCCCCGTCGCTTCATATTTTTTCTAAAAAAATCCAATAACCAACAAATTAAACTGGTGACTGTGGCCTAAGAGCTACCGGTACTTCTATAGTCTGGTACATAGCCAATGTCAGGACTGCTGTACTCACCATGCATGGTGTCGTAGATGGGGAACCAGCCCTGCATAACTGAGGCAGAGTCTTTAGTCAGCAGGGGGTCGATATCTATATACACCTGTAGGGATGATACACATCATCAGCATCTTAACCACTCAGGCGGGTCATCCATGTCTTCCACATACTCAAGGCTCGAAATTAACAGTGTCCCGATGGCCACTGACCACTACAATTTAGGCTGGGACAACTAAAAAGACATTTGGGACATTTTTGGGACAATTGAAAAATAATCAACATCAGATTCAGAATGTCAGCCCTACTTTCATTGATCAGGCAACCGTCCTGGCTTTTGGCTTGGAAAAGCCACCCAAATTTCTTGACTATTCTGCAATTATAGCATGCCTGGGTGTAAGAACGTACACGTAAGCAAAATAAAGTTATCTTCAAGTTACAATGTTTTGTCATACATACATCCCAAAAACAGGTTGGGACCTCACTTTGGGACAATTGAAATTTATTTTCGGGACAATGCTGGGACAATAGGAAAAAAAGTTTCTGGAGGCCTGTTATCTGTTACTGTCCGTTGCACCCCATTAAGCAACTAATATCTCTGAAAGGCCCTTCTTGACCAGTGTTTGAAATACGCAGTAGCACCGTTTTATCACGCAACATGATTTTCTTAATTGTGTGCCCTAGGTGGTACACTGTGCTCAAAAAGGTATTTCGAACACTGCTGACTGTTCTTTTCCAATTTGCACGGTCTCCCCTCTCCCTATCTGCTGGACACCAGTTCAGTGCCACTCTGAGAAGTTGTTTGATGGAATATTGCATGGCTGAAAAAAACTTTTGTCCAACTGTCATCTTTGACGGACAAAAATAGAAATTGGCTTCTAAAGATATGGAGATGGATGGAATCTTCTTACTTTACCAGCAAATTTGCCCCTCAAAATGCAGGACAAAAGCATCTAAGAGGGTCAAGATTTCAACATTTTCATACAGGCGGCAAACCAGGGCCCCGCTGACGTCTCTTGGATTGTTACACTGTCCATCCTTCAGCACTCAACATGATGTTACATTAAACGAAATTGAGATGACAGGATAAAACTTGAAGCTGGCTAGAACACTCACACAGACTGTGTTATGTAACAGAAAATAACAAGGAGGAATGTCCATTTCACAAAATTATACAAATAATATGTTCTATCTATTTTACAACTGTGCATATATACCTTTCCAATCACATCATGGGCACTGTATGTGTCATGGTCCAGGACTCTGCATGAAATAGAAAACACATAGTATTGATGTACATTGTACAGTACATTGTACAGTCCATGTACAGTATGTTGTCCTGTTCATAGTTTAGAGAAATTCACCACATAACTAGTGTTGTGTATCTAAACCCACATTTAGGTAGTCCAGAGGTTTAGATTCAGTTCCGGAACTTACAATTTGCATATACAAAATTGCATGTTTGCAACCTTGCAATGTTGTTTGGGCAAAACTGTGGCCACATAACATGGAGGCTGATACTTGCGATGATGCCCGATGACAATGTTTTCTTCATTTTGCAGCACAGTTTTTGCAATCTAAGGAAGGTTTTAAAGGGGTATGTGAAATGTTTTTGTTTTTTTTTTGTAATAGGTCCGGACTCGGTTCTTGACTTTTTAGGTTTTTTTGGACTTGAACCTAAACTTTCTTACAAGTCCAGATCCAAGTCCATTGACCCGGTACACAGCACCTAACATGTAAAGAGCTTTCAGAGCATATTATCACAGTTATCACCATTGCTACAATGTTGTTTATAACGTAACAAAAGGCACAAGTTGCTACCCCAGGTATCTATTCTGATATTCAAGGCATTACTCACCGAATTTGTAATGGTTCATCCTGTAAGTCTTCATCATCTACCTGAGAAAAAAAAAAAAACAATATAGACTTCAGCACAAGAAGGTGTAGGTGGAAAGATGGTCTTATATGCAAAATTTTGCTTAGTCGGTCTGCAAGTGTGCTGTTTTCTAGCTGGTTTTAAAGTGGTCTACAATTTCTTTTCCAGGTGGCTCAGTGGAAGGATCCTGCAAAAATTAAGCCCACAATGAATTAAACTGACCTTCCTAGTTTGTGTTATTTGCATGATGTTTCAACTTTCAAGAAAAAAAACTTCAAGAAAAAATGCAAAGCTTTGAAAGAAGATGAACTTGATAATATCAAAAGAAAAATGGCTGTAGTTCTCAGCATTAGCTTTACATGTAGCTTTCCAGCTTTAAACATTTTATATGGTGCATACTGCATAAAGAAAATTTACCAACAGTTAGAGCAATAACTTATTTTTATTTTGCATATTTTTTCCCTTGATAATCATGCACGATATGTTAAGCAAAATACAGCTTACAAAAATAATATATGGTTAATTTTTGCATCAGCATCTTTGTCTGCAAGGCCTCTCCCCCTCCTGCTCTAGGTACAAAGTTGCACATTCAAAATATTTTTAAGTGCAAATATTGAAAATCATGTGCATTTTGCACATTACACATGGGTATTTTGAGCTCTGGGATGGGATGTAAAGCCGGAGGTCCCATTTTTGAGGAGAGGCACATATAAATTATGCATGTACCTTCAGAACATTAAAGATCCCACCACACTTATCAAAAATAGTAGAGGTCCTTCCTGGTGTGATGTAAGTGGATCAAACCTTACAGTACAGGCTTATAGTTATACAACTACAAATGCCCTATCCACATCTATTCTCTCTCTTCAATGTATCAAACTTTATTCTTGATACCTTACCTCAAACTTGAACCAGTCTGAGTTCCACTGAGGGTTGAGAGACTTCTTCTGGACGTCTGTCTTGTAGTTAGTAGCTCCGAACTTCACCTGTTAAAACCAACCAACAACATGCAGTCACTTTATAGTCATGTACATTTACATCAGTACATTCACTCATTCAGTGCACACCCCAGTTTATTTGGCGTTTCTATTCGAAGCTGCACACCCTCAAATCTAGCAAGCGTCTAGATCTACTGTGGAATGATTCAGAAGGAAAATAACTGTATGGTATGATTCTACTACGAAAGGATATCTTTTCAGCTACAAACCCTTTTGTCACATTTTTGCCAATAATGTCCTTCAAGGATGACGGATTGGCTTCAAAATTTTTCCATGACATGCCACAAAGCTCCTGCAATTCACGGAAAATCAGGTGCTGGCTAGAGCCCTGGTGTGTGTGTGTGTGTGTGTGTGTGTATATATGAATGTCAAATCCATATCTTTGTATCCGTACCTCTACAAAGGCGTCTGTGAGGTCGCTGGCCCTGTCCATGATGGGCAGGTCCCTCCCCGCTACTACTCGCACCTTCAGCTTCCCCGGCATGGCGGTACCCCGCTACACACCGCACACTGGCCTGTGTAGAGGGATAAATCTCTTTGAGTACTCTAGCGGACAAATGAGTACTCAGCAGTTCTCTTTGGATTAGGCATTCTCCCAAATTCTATCTCAGATCTCTTCCAGTCTCTTACAAGTCTCTTTTTTACGACTGTTTTGTTGCGTAAATTTCCCATTGTTTGAAAAGTCTCTTTCAAAATCACCTGTGAAAACATGGCTGCCATGTTGTTGTTTTTATGTCATTCTTAGGGTTAGACGTGGCATGAATGTACAATAAAGGTATGTCATTGAGCCATTGAGCTAATCCCCATTTAATTATCTATTGTTAAAAACAATTGATGTTATCTTAGGGGGGTCCAACCTCAGGTGTCAAGAAAGAATCTACAGCAGTTCTCTTTGGAGTCTCTTCTAATGGGGACAGATCTCTTCCAGCTCTCTTTTGGTCTTGTATTTGTGATGAGTTCTCTTTTGTCCACTAGAGTACTCAAAGAGATTTATCCCTCTACTCTATATATGGTACTACACCTGAACAGACATATTGTTAGAGAAATGTATGCAGGGCCGGAAAAGTTTTCAAAAATCCATGCCAATTGCCCTATTGGGCAAGTACAAGGTCATTTCGGAGTAGCGGAGCAGAGTCTCTCATTTTGGAGTAGCAGACCTTTTGGAGTAGCAGTTCGTACGTTGCTACCGTTGCTTCATACATGTAAGCTGGCTGCCCGGATTTGGCATGGGTTCCATTCCCGGTAGCCTCCACCAGGCCTTTCTACGGGAATACGGATTGTAGAATTCGGCAAAAAAGACAGTAAAATTGGCCAAGGGAGTCCGACTGCGGGGAGGTAGTTTCTTTCCCTCTGCGGCCAGTCAAACCTACAAGACGGCAGCACGTCAGCAGAACGTACTGCACCTGGGCGAAACCTTTAATATATTGTGCATAGCACTTCGGCCGAACATCTCATGTAAGGTTGTATTCGCGCATATAAACAACACTCTGTCTATGGTTTCCAAACGTTACGTCGGAAAAAATATTGTTTGCAACTGGCAAAATTCTGATGCAATGTTGACCAAAAATCCAACGAAAACCGTGAAAAATCGGGGTTCTGCGCAGGCGCAGTACATTCTGCCGACGTGCTCAAGACGGCCAAAATCAACTGGCAAATATTCTCCTATATATAGCCAGCGTAGTTAGTCTGGTAGAGACTAGATTCCCGGTGCCTCGGAAATGACTGAAAAACTAGAGCCGAGTAGGAACAGGAAAAATAACCCGACTCCCGGGACGCCTGTGCAGCCAGCTTATAAAACAATGCACAAACCACTATTCCAAATGCTCCGGAACATAATTTGTGGTGCTCATTTCCAAATCAACACAGCAAAATTTATGGGGCATGGGGGGGGGGGGCAGTACAAAACGAAAACAACATGTCATAACAACTGGACAAAATAAGTCTACAAACGAGGTGATGATTCAACACATTCTTCAGAAACATCCCAATTTTTCCGGTGTCCATACGAAGCTATGTCACGTCACTAGCTACAAAATACGACGTTCAAAGTCGCCCCGCCCCTTTCAAAAATCAAACTAATTCTCTGGAAAAGTCATTTTTAAGGTATTTCTTGAAAATAAATTAACAGCGAATCATGACCACATCTGTTTCTCCAGAATAGGCATACATACGTGTTCTGATGTGCAGAGCTCTCTAAGTCCGCGGAAATGTGACGAAATTTCCTACAAAAACAAACGCAAATTTCGCAATCTTATGGGCGCCGCCATCTTTGTTCCTACAAAGCTTGCTGGGAGTGCTGTTTAGTACAGGCTCTGTGATTGGTCAAATTTCGATAAATGAAACTAAACTGACCAATCAGAGTGGAGGATAGATCTTGTCTCTCCATCTGTGCTGTGATGACGTCATCACACACCGGCTCAAGACGTGGCGCCAGAGACAAAAATTCACATTTCTCCAGATTTTCCCGCAAATTTTGACTTTCTGACCCAAAAATGTTGCCGATTTCGGATTTTCAAAGTAAGTATTGGTCTCCCGTTTGTTTGGAATGGCTGCGTTTGATTAAACTTTCATAGGATAATTTCCTCCAATATAAATCGTAATTTGTGGGGAGGGGGGAGAAGAAATTCACAAGAAGTAACAACACGTCAACAACAACAAATACAGTAAATATTTGGCCAAAGGCTTCAGTAGAAATATTTTCACAAGCGATTTCATTTTACGTTCTCGCATCCATGTTGAAGTCAGCATAACATAGGAATGAATATACTTTATCATATACTATAGGATTATGCATATGGAACATATTTGTGCTATAATTTGTGTAATTAATTCAGGATGTGATAGCTGCAAACGAATTCCTGCAAAGACATGTACACATTATACAAACTAAATTATGTTTATTCCGTTTGTTTCTACTATAATAATTTTGTAATGGTTAATGATTGCAGGTAAGGCTATAACATTGTTTATCTGACGGACCTGACGTCTGAATTTCGAATCCCCAAAATCCTGTAAATAGGGTGAAATATTTGTCCACAAGTAAACAGGTGGACGGGTCCTTGAGATAGTCCCAATGAATTGTTATAAACTTTATTTGTTGGATCATTTTGGCCAAAATGTAACAAAAAAATTTATAAAAAAATAAGAAGATCCTTAGTTTTTTCAGAACTGAAACTGGAAACTCCTACCTGGCCTGAAGGAATCTACATCTATATAAATTATAACATTGATTTTCCTAGGCCTAACCATGAAGTTGTTACCTCTTCCAGAGATCGGCATAGGGCTGACAGGGTTTGGAACATTTTTCCTGCTCCTGGGCATGTTGCTGTTCTTCGATACCGCCTTGTTAGCTATAGGAAATGTAAGTATCGCACTCCAACTGAGATGGGGTTTTGTGCGCGTGAAAAACTTGCGCGTGAAAAATCTGCGCTTGAAGATATGCAAATAAGCTGATTCCCAAGGGATTTGAAAACTTTTTGCTGTTTTGAGGTTTTAAGCTTAAAAGTTGGAAAAAAGACAAGAAAATAAAAATTTAACATCATTTTGCTTGTATTTTAGACTACAAAGCATTGTTTTGTCCATTTTTCTGTGATTTCGGGTGATTTTGAAAGGTTAAGTTTTCATGAATTCAAAGTTCTAGAATGGAGAAAAGCTTCAGATTGTTACATTTTGCCATCCTAAACCTCATACTAGTAACTTTTCCATGTATTTCTTATAAATTCAAGTGATTTTCAAAAGTTCAGGTTTTATAGAAGGTATGCAAATTAGCTTATTTCCAAGGGACCTACATTTTCAACCAAAATTTTGGCTAACAGAGGGAAAATTATACCAGAGGACAACATTTTCCTGCCTAAGAATTTGGTACTGCATATTTTTTAACGTATTTCTGGGACTTTTATTTTTCACGCGCAAATTTTTCATGCGCAAGTTTTTCATGCGCAAGTTTTTCACGCGCAGAAAACCCGTTCCCCTCCAACATACTAGTACATGTCTGAGGGGACTTGCATACATGTAGTGCTGTGTACCTAACCCCACATTTAGGTTCAGGTTCGGATTCAAATCCAGAGGTTTAGGTTCAGCTCCGGACTTGCAAGTCCAGACCTAAACCCATGGCATATACAAAATTGCATGTTGGCAACCTTGCAATGTTACTGTATATAGACAAAACTACATGGACACATAACATGGAGGCCAAAACTTGACGATGCCTGATGGCAATGTTTTCTTCATTTTGCCAGCACAGATTTTGCAATCAATGGAAGGTTTTAGGTGGTTTGGAAAGAAAAGCGGTATGAGAGTGTGACATGGTATTTTTTGTAATAAGTCCAGAATCGGTTCTTGACTTTTAGGTTTTTTTGGACTTGAACCTATTAGTAAACATTTTTATAAGTCCAGAACTAGTCCAGCGAATCGGTACACAGCACTAGACTTACATATACCGGTATACATGTATGTCAGCCAGGGTATAGAGACTTTGATCTGGTAGATTCAGTGATTCTAGTAATTAAACAAGATCCCGATCGGAGTCTCTCTGATTCATGTTCAGTACCAAATTCATACAGGTACAGCATTAAAACATATTTAGGTTTTATGGCAAGCACAATAACATCAGTTGGTACCCATAATGTGATTGAATGTTTGATCCGTATTATATGTTAGTAGATTTCATTCTCTCTGCCGCCAATTCTACCAGCAGAGGTGCTGACCAGAGTTTCTCTTGACAGAGACTCTGATCTGGATCTCTGTTGGTAGAATCACCAACTTGGGAATAAAAGAAATAAATTTTTGGCGACATCTCGGGGAGGAGCCTAATGGTACATGTACAGTATTGTGTGCAATTTGCAAGAATTCTAGCAATTTGTCCACAGGCTTGGAATGTCCACAGGAATGTCTCCCAGCTCTGTTTGCAGACCCACATCTATGCCCAAATTCCTGGAAACCCTTGGGAAAACCTGTCTGCCCTGGATGCCCTACTTTCTGTGACCCCGGGGCTCATTCACTATACACTCAGGGGAGGAGTGCACTCAGTATCTGTCTAGACTTAACAATAACAGGTACCAAGTCTTCCTCAAAATCATGAAATGATGGCAGTGCCATGCAAACAATAACCCTAACAGCAACCACTGTCGCCATGGCAATGTATGTTTTCATTGCCAGTCTTGTTAAAAATCTTCTTCTTCCTCTCTGTAGATCCTGTTCATCTCAGGGCTTGCGTTTGTGATCGGGATGGAGCGGACATACAGATTCTTCTTCCAGAGGCACAAGATGAAGGGGACAGCTGCGTTTGTGGGGGGGATGCTGGTGGTGCTGGTGGGCTGGCCTGTCATCGGCATGTGTGTGGAGCTCTACGGTTTTGTACTACTCTTTAGGTAAGGTGCTTCTCCATCTGGGAATAGTTTCATCAGGTTGGTAAGTCACTGAGTAAAGAAACTCTTTTTACACAACTAAGGCCCTGTTCATGATTCAAAATCTGTTGTGAATCGAGTGGAATAAAAAAAAAAATCGATACATGAACGCTCCATTCCGGTTCCATTGCTATTTATTTTGAACCACTTCTTAAGGTGGTCTGAAACGATACAGAAATGTTTTGCGTTGTCGAATTGCAATCACTGATTATCATGAACGCGCGGTCGCGAATCGTTCCGGCGTACATCCGGGTACGTAAGGTCACAGTTTGGTTCATATCGGTTCATGGCCCAACAGAATCGATTTGTAACAGATTTTGAATCATGAACAAGGGCCAAGTGTCTCATTCACAGCCGACGTTTCGGTGACCATCTGTCACCTACCTCAGGGCAGTTCTGACTGGTTCACATTGCAAATATGTAATTATTTTACATTTGGGAATGCATCTATAGCAGTGACACCTGTGCTGCAGTGCAATGTGAACCAGTCAGAATTGCCCTGATGAAGGTGACAGACGGTCACCAAAACGTCAGCTGTGATTAAAAGACTTGGTTGTGTAAAAAGAGCTTCTTTACTCAAGGTGGTTCTCCATAAAGGTCAGTGACCTCCGACGGAGTAGTGTAATCAGTTCTGTCTGTTTGTTTACATCCTAATAATTTGTGGTGGTACCACAAATTTAGTGTGCCTCATGTAGGCTGTTTGGAGATGATTGCACAAAAATAGTAGAAGGATAAATCTCTTTGAGTACCCTAGTGGACAATTGATAAATTCTTTGGATTAGGCATTGTTGTCCCAAATTCTCTTGCAGTCTCTTACAAGTCTCTTTTTTCAACTGTTTTCTTACATAATTTCCCATTGTTTAAAAAGTCTCTTTTAAAATCACCTGTGAAAACATGGCTGACATGACTGTTGTTTTTATGTCATTGTTAAGGTTAGACTCTAATACCAAGTTTAATTACCTATTGTTCATAACAATTGATGGTATCTGAGGGGGTCCAACCTTAGGTGTCAAGAAGGAATCTACTGAAGTTCTCTTTGGAGTCTCTTCTAATGGGGACAGATCTCTTCTACAAAGTTCTAGCTCTCTTTTGGTCTTGTCCTTTGTGATGAGATCTCAACTGTCTGCTAGAGTACTCAAAGAGATTTTACTAGTGATATGTTGAAAAGTGGAAGTAAATCACAATCACAGTGGCACTGACTATTTTTCAGTTAAAATATGTAGATTTTTGGTGCAGAAATGTTGTAATACCCATGCTGAAGATGTCTGTATGTGTTTGTGTTCTACAGTGGTTTCTTCCCAGTAGCCATCAGTTTCATCAGAAGGATTCCTGTACTGGGGATGGTGTTGGACCTGCCAGGCATCAGTACGGTCAGTCTTCTCAACATGTCACCTTAGGCCATACCGACTTAATTTTATGGATGACATCAGGCTTTTAGCTAGGGGGTATCCAGGGGTGTCTTTTGGACACCCTGTACTGAAAATGAATTGGACACCCTAACTTTTTGGTAGGACACCCTAAAGACGCCCTATTTTTTCCACTCCCAACCCCTGCCATGCACACATGCCTCCCTTCAGCCTTACTATAAATACAAAAATGATGGTTTACTGAAGAAGAAAAACTCAAATTCCTCAAAATGTGCACCTCAAACTGCAGAAAGTAGTGATTGCGAGCATTATGAATTTAACTTTTTAAAGCCCCCTATAAAGCTCGCACACCTCAAGTCTTTGCTGCACATACTGCATACAATTAAAACAAGTGCTTCTGAAAAAGCTGACCATTTTCGCCGCTTACAGGCTTACAGTTTTTACGAACTGGTGGATGGTTGAGGAGTATATGGTGGTGGAACGTACCGTAGTGCAATGCATTCTAGCATTTTCCCCATCCTAGCATTTCAATTTACCTAAGTTATATAAATGGTTCTAGTTCTCATCAACATTGCATATAATGAGAGAACATGCACTTCTATATTTCAACTCTTTAAGTTTAAAACATTACAAAAATCAAGTATATAACAGTTTATAACCTGTTTTCTCTCTTTTAAGAGTCTTTTTAACAGAATAAAAAAATGAGACACAAAAGTACATTTTAACTTAAATTATAAGTAACGTTAATATATATATATAATTTTATTCAAAATCTCTTCTATGGCTTTGTCCCCAACATCTAAGTTTACAACCTCGTGACATTCAACCAGGGCTTTAGCCAGCGCCCGTTTTACCGTCAATTGACGGTATTTTTCCCGTCGGACGGTAAAAATTTAAGTCCTTACCGTCAACATTGACGGTCAAAAATCGTGGGTGAAGACATTAAACTTAGCAAAAAATGTAGCTAATTTGAATGAGCCACGGCGCGGGGTCTTTCCAAAGCGCGTCGCGTCTTTTCAAAACGCCGCGGGCCCACACATTTCTTATTTAAATACGGCGGGAAACCTGACTTCAAGGAACGTGCCGACGTCTGTTAACTCGGTTCTTTTCTTCAATGTTGCTGTCTGTTTAAACAACATGTGCTAACGGCCACATAAGAACAATGGCTCGACTCAGACTCACGCTGGTAACTGTACATGACAATAAGATAAATAAACAACATGTGACAACGAACAAAGAAATATCAAACGTTTTGAAAATATACTGTACTTGAATTTTCATACCATCGCAAGAAAACGGAGATCGATCTATGCAAAGTGGCTTTATTATTTATATAAACTTCGTTAAACCACCTTCGAAGACTTGAGCGGCAGCATAAAGATAAATATTTCTGGAGCCGATCGCTGAAGCAAGTTTTTGCCGGCGTACGTAACTCCCTCCGCGGCAAAATCCCATATGCCGTAGCGAAATCGCGTCTCAGCACTTCCCCAAATCAACTCCATGGCCGCTAAAGTCTGCAAATGAGGTTAAACTTCCTCATTTCGGTTGAGAAGCGAAGCTACTAGTATAAAATCATGTGCATGGCGGCCATTTTGTTTGCTACCCGAAGTCTTCCAAATGATCTAAATAAGGAAATCGTCGGAAATCTGAGCCACATCCCTCGCTGTCGGCATGCGCTCGGGGCTGGCTCGGTGGAAATCGGAGGCTGTGACGTCAGGACTAGGTTTATTTGCATGGCTCGGGAAGCCGCCGCGGCTTGAATCGCAGCGGGATTTGGGCGCCGGGCGGGTCAAAGAAAGGGAATATGAAGTTGTGAGGACCATAGTTTTTTTTTTCATTCTTCAAATTGCAGATTGTGTAATTTTTATCCTCCAATCTTGAAAATCTATCTGCAAATTGCAGACTGAAGACGGGTATTTAGAACACATGAAGTGTGCGGGGGGGCATGATGTCGATCACCGGATCGTGATTTTTTTTCGCGTTGACCCTGATTCAACCCTAAAATAATACTCGAAGAGAACTTCAAAAGTCATCTTTTACTAATCATATATAATTGTTTACATTATATCATCTGATCAACCTGATCCATTAAAAATTGTCAATGGAAAATACCTTGCCAAACAATGCAATACCTATTTAAGTTAATTAAACACTCACTCATTAATTAATTAATTTCCTAAAATACAAAAGACATGTTGGTGAAAGTTAGGCACCCAGGTAATATCAATAGTTCCACGGACAGCTATGTAGGCCGGAGCTTCTATTGCGTGCGATCTACGTTTGGTCAGAAAATACCCCCCCCCCCACACACACACACACACACAAAAACACCGATCCGGGAACGCCTGAAAAGGAGGCTTTTAATAAGCTTTGCCTGCAGCGCCTTGATTGGTCGGACGTGTGACCCTCTGGACTGCCGGCTAATGGAAATCTGAACATCTAGACTAATCCACACTGCTAATGCTCATTGACATAATTTATGCAGTTTATTAAAATCCTTGATTACTGTGAATCCTTGATTATAGACATGCATGTCTTTATCAACATTTTTGGCAAATAATAAAATCAAGTTATTGTTCAAGACAAATTAAGTTTGTTTTGTCAGCAGCTTTGTTATGCAACATTAATAGAACTATGATTTTGAAATTAGCAACCATAATGGAAAGTATACAAACGTCCAAGGCATAAATGGTAAAAAGTGCACTCGATTAAAAACGGGTCTGCATGGCCGTCGCAACAACGACATCTAGCGACATGCGGTGACTTAGCATGTCTGCATGGCCGTCGCAACAACGACATCTAGCGACATGCGAAAATGGTTGAAAATGGACACCAAACAAAAAAATCCTAGCTAAAAGCCTGGATGACATCCACGCCCGCATTGATTTTTGCCTGTTCTCAACAAAAAAAAATCACGTCTGGCCTGGCTCTAGGCCTGGGTACTCCATAGTACTTTGCGACAATACAGAGCTGGTGGTTACCCTGGAGGATGGCACCGATGGCACCAAAGCTCCACGACTCAAGAACTCATAACTGATTCATAAATTCTGCAAAAAGGCAGCATGTGCCAGCTTGTCTTGTATGTCGCTATGTACTGCTGCAAATTCACAATACCAGCTTTGTATTCCTGTGGTTTAGTAGCATTTTTATTTTGGCCGGATTTTTATTTTATTTGCCCGCGCGCACTAGTTTGGGGATCTTCAGAGGATGTCATCCAGACAATTAAGTCAGTGAGGCCTTACAGGCATTTCTGTGACAGGCACATGGGCTTGTCAGAATGTCAGCAAAAAGTAATGGTTTCATTTTTAAAGAAAAGTATTACAAGAAAGATTTTATTATTTTTCTGGCACAGATATTAATGATATGCTATTTACTACTATACATTTAACATCTTGACGTACATAAGCCTACAAAAATATTAAGGTGCACTAGTGCACCCACAGAAAAAAATTGGGTGCACAGCTCCAATTTTGGGTGCACTAATTAAGGTGCACATGCACCCAGTATTTCCAGCCCTGCGTGTAAAACGTTATCAAGGCCCAGGTTTAACATAAATGGAATTATGTTACAGCTGTTCTGTACATTGTACTAAATGAACAAAATGTATTACATTCGGTATATATACATGTACATGTACACATACTTGTACATTTAGGATTCCCAGTAGGTCCTACATGTATATGTTACATAATATAATGACATAATGTCATAGTACTAGTATACCTGTATGTAAATGAACATGTTTGTTGGTTCGTTGATATACAATGGCCAAACATGTGGCAATCTGTGATGTTATGAAATTTTACTGTATCTCTTATACTGATAATAAGTAATTTTTAAGATTCTGAGGCATCAACAATTTTGTTGCCCCCTTTTCAAAAGGTGTATTTGTATTTTAGCTCAAGCATCAATACAATAGTCATCATGCTACTGGAAAAGCTGCAGTATGCTTTGTCATCACTAGAGGGCGCTGTTAACACACATGTAGTTCACTCAGATCAGGCAGCCACTTTGCAAAAATGGCTATCTTTGGTATTTCTAAACTGGGGGCAACAGAAATTTCCATCCTGAAAATCCTCAGGTTGATTATCTTTCATTTCATCCTGGTTTGACCATGCCAACATGATAAGCTTTGACATGAATTCCTACCCAAAAGGAGGGTCCCCGACCCTCATGTCTGAGGGTCGGGGACCCAACATCTGCCTAAAGTTAATACATGTAATTCTTCAACTAAATACTTGTTTGATAGTACATTTAAGCTTCATCAATCTATTTTCATATCAATTTGATAATTTAACAAAACTCCACTACTTTGCATCGCCCTAACCCCCTGCCCTAGCCCTAGAGGGGGGTATTGATCATACCATGAGCCTACCAGCTAATTGCCCCCCTTTCTGCTTGTCAGCCTTGATAGAATGGCTTGCAATGTCCCGTGGGGTACCTGACATGAGTATCCACCCTAACAGCTTTGTCACTCCATACTTTAACCTCATCTAATCAGCACAGGAGTGATGAGAGGTGGAAGTACGGTAAATCATAAAACTTTCCCTAGCACGAAAGTCCATCTGAGTTGGTAAAATACATAATGAAAATTAAACTGTCCTCCGACGTCATGTATTTTATGGCACTTTTGCAATAAATTTAAGGTCTGCAGTGGACATCATCCATAAAAATTACTTGGTCTGGCCTTACAATTTAGGGAATAACCTGCCTGACGCATGTCCAACTTTTCCTCCACCCCCACAGTATTTATAGGACAGCCCCTCCATTGTAAGCAATTGATCACAGAGAACAGCTGTCTGCCATCTGAATCAATGCAGAGGTTGGTGGGGGTAAATCATTATATATCTGACAGAAAAGGTCCACTGCAGCGACATTGGGACCCCCCACGAGGCCTGTTTTTGAACTTGACCTTGGCCTCTACAATGGCGGCTTGCCTACCAAAAACCATGAACATCTATTTAAATGTACATGAGTTATTTTGCTCACAAGCCACAAACACA